GGTGTTAGTTTGGTTTCCTCAAACTCAGCCTTGTAAACAGCACTTGCCTTCCCCCTGGGGAACTGACCGGGAAAGCTGCGCAGTTTCTCACAGGTCTGCTTTTCCTGCGGGTTCTGCTGCTTACTTTCGACCCCGTGCCTGGTTCTGAGGAACTTTCTGGACTGTTGTGTAAGGTGGACCTGGGCCCTCCCGGCAGAGCACTGCCTGGAAGCTGATAAGATTTGGACTATGTTCATCTCGTGTCATTTTAGACCATTCCAAAGGCATGTTGTCTAGGAACCGAGCTCTGCTGGTCCCGTGAATAAGGTGTCTGGACTCCTGAGGGTTAAAAAAAGAATAGAGGAATTGAAGTAAAGATAAGGACTTGCGTTGCTTAATTCTGGAGACATCCTCCTTCACAGGTCATTTCCGACAGAACTGAATGCCTTTTGTTCTTCTCATCTGATCTGTGCAGATACTGAGCAGCCCTAACCAAATCTTCAGACAATGGATGGTCTCCAGTCTGGTGCAGACTTTACTAGCAAACCCCAAACCTGTTTGGGAAAGTGAGGTTGGGGTGAGCTCTCATAGGATCGCAGAGACTAGGGATTGGGATGGTACCTAAAAGCCAGCCCTTGTCACCTCCATCAGGAGAGTCAAATGGTAGATTCAGAGACTTGCGCAAACATTGCAAATCGTGCTTAAAGAAGGCAGGGACCAGGGAGTAACTGTGTGTTTTTGAGATGATCTGTCTGACCTTGACTAGAATTAATGAAGTATATGATTTCTAGCAAAGCGCTCAAGTAAAGAGCAAAGCACAACCCTGCAGTTTGGGAATTTAAGTGGCCCTATGACCTGTCCCATTTCCACCACACCAGACTCGTGGGCCTCAGGTTCCTAAATGGAACAGATACTTCAGGGCTGTCTTGGGTTACGTAATGAATTCCTTGTAGGTGCTAAGCATTGTATGCTTTTCAGAATGCGAGGATTACATCGCACATATGATACAGAATCAACATAATCTGGCAGGGTTAGAAGCACTATCTACTGGTGATGCCGAGGTGTAGTCTGGTCCTTTGGTAACTGAGGAAGGAGTCTGCGACGAGTATGGCATGTTGGCCTTGTTCATTTGTCTGCTGTATCCCAGCACATTGGGACTAGTGAAAGATCTTCTTAATTAATGGCCAGATGTTGTTGCTCCTGCAGTGCCTCTTGGTGAGCATCGCCAAGTACCGCACTCACGATTCTAACCTGCTCTGTGTATCATGAGATAGACGGTGTATATTTTGATCTCCCCTATGCCTCCCTTCCTCTTCTCTGTCTTTCTTCCTACATATTGCCAGCACTCACCCTCCCCTATTTCCATTTCCTGTGGTTTACAGATAATCATGATGCAGTCCTGAGGTTTAATGGGGCACCTATAGCCAATTTCCAACAGGATGTGGGCACGAAAACCACCATTCGCCTGATGAATTCTCAGGTAAGAGTTTTTTTCTGCAGATAGTGCACCTCAGGTAAGAGTTCTTTCCTCCAGATAGTGCACGAGACGAAAACGGCTGCAGTGTGGGCCCCAGTGATGAGGGTATCCACATCAAAGCTGCCAGTTTGATTAAGTTTCTTGACTTCCTGGGTCGCAGATATGTCCCCAAAGACGGGACTATGATCCCATGACCCCATGACCAGCCTTGTGATGCGTCCAGAAGATTGTCTCCACTCTGATAGTGTGCGTTGATGGAGCTGCCTAGGGTCTAGAGAAATGGAGCTCGTTTTTTTCTTGTAACCAGGCAATAATGCCTGTAGTTTTGGACAAGAGACAACGGAGCACAGGCTGAACAAGGGAGAAGGAAGAAAGCTGTGAAAAGTAAGCAGGAATACACCCTGAGCTCAAGCTGGGCTATAAAACACGGCACAGCATAGGACACAGCGCCAGTGCCCCAGGAGTCTTTAGGCTGTGGACCAGAATCCAAACATTACTTCATAAGTTTCCTAAGTCCTTCCCCAAAGTATTTCTGAATAGTAGACATGCTGCTTTCTCAACGCCAGCAGGAACTTTAGACATGTTCTTGCCAAAAGTTCTGTTACTAAATATAGTGACAGAAGCTGAATTCTACACAGCCCGTAGCCAGGCACAGCGCTATGCGCATGTGGTCCCAGCCATGGTCCCAGCCACCCAGGAGATCTGAGACAGGATTAAGACGCCATCTCTAAATAAATAAATTCTGTGCCGGGACCTCCAGTCTTGGCAGTGAGGTTTGCTCTTCCCTGAGCGAACGCGGGGCCCTTAGCTATTCCTCTGTACGTGTGTAATCTCTGTTTGCCTCTTAGCACTCCAGGGCCTGGATAGCATCAGAAAAGTCCCTCTGGCACTTTGCTGGCATGGAACCTGCTTTCTTTCCTGCAGCGAGGCCCCAGTGCTGAGTGTGTCCACATCAAAACTTCCAGCTTGATTCAGTTTCATGATCTCCTGGGTCCCAGATGCATCACTGAAGAAGGGGCAGCGATCCTTTGACCAGCCTTGTGATATGTCCATAGCAAAGAAAAGAAGCGTACCTCTTTCTCTTCGCTTTCTGACTTGCAGGATCATCCAGCTGGCCCTGCACTGCTTCCTGTGTAGCGTTCTTTCTATTTGAGGCCCACAGTCAAAAGAAGGGAGGCCAAGGGACAGAACTGCTATGCATACAAACTTATTTCTTGGTTTTTTTTTTCCACCCTGTAAAATTATTTTAGGGGACAGTATCTTGCTATGCTGTCCAGGCTAACCTTGAACTCTCAGTTCTCCTCTCTCTAGTGCAGAGAGATACCTGCTTGAATCGCAATGCCTAGTTTTAACCCTTTGCGTTACTATCTTTTAAATTTAAAAACAGCCATCACTTGCTGTTCGGGCAGCTGTCTCCAGTGTCCTGGTACTCTGTGCCTCCCCTGCACTGAACTTACAAGAGCAAGCTCTTATGCCCACCTTTTCTTGTGGATGCTAGGAATGAAACGTATGTCCTTGCGCACACTCAGTGAGCACTTTACCATCTCCCTAGCCCTACATTTTGGAGTTTTAATATCACTCTTTTTTTAAACAATAAAAGAGATAAATGTTAAAGAAATAGTTTGCTTAACAAGATTCTCTGAACTTGACTCCAAAAGGGGCTGGATTTGGAAAAATATCAACAGGGTGGCCTGCCTGAAGGAGGGATCGACAGGAGAGAGATACACAGGAAGTGAGAGATTCTTCTGAGCTTGGGTTGGCCTGAAGGAAGCGGGTGACAGGTTTCTTATTGCCTGGTAGAGGGGGGTGAACTTGGCCTTCCCAGCTACTCAGATTAACACATCTGGAAATTCTGGTATGGAGTTAGGGTCCCTCCCAAAATCTATTTATGTTTTGCCCTTAATCCCTTATGTTTCTTCTCCTGCCCTGAGCTGGGAGCACCTTAGGGAGCACTGATATCTGTCCTCTGATTCCATGTGAGATGGACAAAAAACTGTGCATGCATGCATCCATTCACCCAGCATGCGATGCAGGCATGCATCCATTTATTCAGCACGCGATACATACACACATGCATCCGTTCACCCAGCATGTGATGCAGGTGTGCATCCATTCATTCCGCACACAATGCAGGTGTGCCTCCATTCATTCAGCACACAATGCAGGCGTGCCTTCATTCATTCAGCATGCGATTCGGGCGTGCATCCGTTCACCCAGCACGCGATACAGGCATTCATCCATTCATTCAGCAAGTGTTTAGAGTATGGGGTATATGGTAGCAGTCAGTTCTTGGCCTCTGCAGTTCACTTGCCTGAGGGATTGGCAGGACAGCTCTATATTTGACTGGCAGAATGGTCATGCCTAAGTTCTCTCTATGAAAAGAATAACAGTATTTTCCTTGTAAAGTCATTGTGAAAATACAGATAAAGAGTGGGAGGTACTTAGTGTTAGGGTTTTGCTGGGGAAGAGTACATTGTGCAGCAGATCTCATGAGAGAGAGGGGCATTCATGGAAGGCTGCCTCTGAGCTGGGGAGGGGAGGACAACGAGAGCAAGAGACGGAGACAGAGAGAGCCGTGATGGCGTGGACTGATGGCGACAGAGAAAGTGGGCTGCATTTGGTGGCTGCTGGTGCTGGATCATGGAAGGCAGGCTGAGGGGGGCCTCACCTGGCTCTGGAATGTGGGCAGTTCCTAGCACTTCCATAGGTCTCTAATTGTCAGCTGTTTTCACTGTTTGTGTCTGCGGCTGTGGAGCTGGGAGTGGTGAGTGCAGACCTGCGCAGAAGTCTCCCCCTCTCTTCTTTGACTACCTGTAAAATCAAGTGCTCCCACCAAGAAGGCAAAAGTTGCAATAGAGAACTTCAGAAGTGTTGGGGAAGGGTTCAGGGATGGGGGAGCATGGAGCTAGGGGAGCCCTGCCTAGGAGGTCCCTGCACTCCAGGGAAGTCTGGAAGGCTTCCTGGGGGAGGTGATACTCAGCTGTGTGTTCAGGGGAGCAGGAAATAATGAGGTGGATGTGGCAACAGCTTGGGTGAAGAGTCTGGTAGCAGTAGGTTGTGGGGGAGACTACCGAACAGTTCTGCCATGGTCCCATGTGCAGTTTGTAACCCACGGTCGTCCATCTGGTCACCCCGAGGGACACAGTTAGGAGGGTCCTGCTGCCTGTAAAAGGGCTTGCACTAGGGTAGAATGCATTCGAGAGCTGCTGGGGGGAGCAGGGAGGTTCAGTAGATTCAAGAATTCTTTTAAGTACAACAGTGTGAGATGTGGGATTCCCCTCTGTATGCTGGGAATATGTTTTATTACCATTGGTTAATAAAGAAGCTGCTTCGGCCTATGGCAGTGCAGAATAAACCCAGGTGGGAAATTCAAACAGAGAATATAGAGAGAGTAAGTGGAATCAAGCAGACACCCATGTAGCTGCCAGAAGAGAAGGACGCCGGAACCTTATTGGTTGGCCACACCCTCATGGTGATACACAGATTAATAGAAATGGGTTAATTTAAGATGTAAGAGCTAACTAGGAATATGCCTAAGCCATTGGCCAAACAGTGTTGTAATTAATATAGTTTCTGTGTGTTTATTTGGATCTGGGCAGCCGGGAAACGAATGAGCAGTCTCTGTTTACACAGTGTTATTTCCGTCCACATAGTTGCCGTTCAGGGTCATCTTGCCGTCTTGGCAGAATTTTGTTTTTCTCAAGAAGAGAACTGCTCCCTTGAGCTTCCTGAAGGAGGCGTGGTCTTTGGTATGAGGGTAGGCCTAATGGACGTGTCGGATGGTCAGTCAAGCCCGGTAAATAGCATTCACATCTTTGCATCCTAAATTTTGCTCTGACAGGCCTCTTTAGCATCCTGCTTGTACAGGCTGTATCATGGAAGTGGTGCTCCCTTAGCTGAATTCTACTTTGTGTGTGTCTTAGTTAGGGTTTCTGTTGCTGTGAAGGGGCACAATGACCCCAGCAACATTAAGGCTGGCTTACAGTTCAGAGGTTTAGTCCATTATCGTCACAGTGGGAAGCGTGGTGGCATACAGGCAGACATGGTGCTAGAGAAGGAGTGGAGAGTTCTACATCCTGATCTGCAGGGAGCGGAAAAAGAACTGAGTCTCTGAGCCTGGACTTGAGCATCTGAGACCTCAGATCCCAGGCCGTGTCTTCAGTAATTCTTTCTGCAAGTTTTGGTAACTGATTTTTTTCTTTAATTGAATTGCCACTGTCAGATGAAAGCAGCACATTTCCCTAAATTCTTAGCATCACTGTTGGTGCATTACCAATAGGGAAATAATAGCAGCCCTGTTAACTGGTATAGCCTGTTCCTGTTCTTTTTGTTCTGTCGGGGTATAGTTTAAACCATTAACTATTTGACAGGTCGCCCAACTGTTGTATACATCCTTATTATTATAGACAGCCAGGCTGGGGAGACCTATTGCAGAGACGGTGATGGCCACAGTCTCAGGTTTTGAGACAAGAGCGATTTTATTATTAGTATCCAGTCAGGGGCTCACTCTCTGATATCAGTGTCTTATCAGGCTGTTTTTTTCCTGGACTGCTGGAAAAATAATAGTCTCCTTAAATATCGGTGGGCATTGTGAGACAAGTTAACAGGAATATAGTTATAGGTGGATTATTCACAAGTGAAAAGCCATCCTTCAGGCAAAGAAATATGGCTGGCCCATAGAGGATGCCCTTGGTGTGGGAACAATTTTATTTGTCTCTTGGGAATGTGTAACATTTCTGGGTTCAGTTTTATATTTTAGCACACATGCCGTTTGGATGTCCTGTAACACAGAAAGTACGGGGTTCTACTGTGTCTAGTGTTTGCCATTAAAAACTCTTCCCCAGTTGTAAGAATCTTTATAACAGACAGGCTTTGGGATACCTGTTGAAGAGTTAACCTGGCTAGGCTAGCAATATCCTGACAAGTTTACAAATGGGTATAAGACAAATGCCTAACATATGTTCAGCCTTTAACTTCTCTTTTAGACAGAAGTCAGTAGCACTTAGACTGCGAGCTAATTTTATCTAGGTGCTATAATGGAAATGCTGTCCTAGCTACAGGTTTTATTTCTACTTCTTTAAGCCCTAGAATTGGACAGTCAAGGCAGAGAAGACGTAGTGAAAAGGTGAGTCGGGTTTGACAGTACTCAGGTATTTTTGTGTCTTACATGGACCTTGTGGACCCGGCTCCACCTCTGGGAGCCGGGTGAATTTCACCTTGAAAGGATGTTCTGAATGAATCACGGTCCACTCGCTGGCCAGGAATGTCTGCTGCTCCCTTGAGCTGAGTGTGGTGAATCCAGGAGTAATCCCAGCAACATTGACAACCATGGCTGTGGTGAGAACCGAGAACCGTGGGGTATGGTCCCTTCCAGCGAGGCTCAAGGGTCTCTGGATGGTGTCTTTTAACCCAGAGAGCGCCACCAGGCTGGGTCCCAGTCTCTTGGTGGGGTTTCTCCCACAGTTTTGCAGCCATGCTAAAGAACCTGTTGCAGGGCCTGGAGGGACGAGAGAAGGGAATGGTTAGAAATTCCAGCTGAGTGTACATCCTGTAGTATAGATAGGAGAGGAGGAAGTCTGTCGAAAGAAATTTCGAACAGAGAAAATCCCCCTCTGTAAGGAATGTACTTGCCTGTAAGCCAGTAAATGGAAAGAAATAATTTTAGCAATTAGAGGTTTGTTTTTTTTTTCTTAAGAGTACTTTCATGAATGGTCTAGCTGTAGTTCAGTAGCCGACTCCAGTGGCTTTGTCAGGATTCATTGAGTAACAGCTCATAAACCATTGTGGTGTCAGGGACAACAGTTTACCAGATGCATCTGCTTTCCTTGGCAGCCCTCGCCTTCAAAGCAAACATGGGCTCTTTTATTCTCATCTTAGTTACTGCCATTAACTCTCAGATTACACATTTCACTTCATACAGTAAATCTGTCCATCTACACCACACACACACACACACACACACACACACACACACGCAGGTTGCAGAGTGACAGACAGGGCTAAGAGGTGGCTGCGGTGAAGCTCAGTAGGTCTATGAAGCCTTAAGAGGGGAAGCTGACAGAAATACAGGGAATGAGAAAACTAAACAAACCCATGCAGGAGAAACTACCAGTGTTAGGCTTTGGGGCCGGAGTTGAGCTACAGAGTTCAGTGGAGCTGTACAGGCCAAAGGGCAGGACCAGCTCAAGATGAAGGAACAGATGGGTGGATGGCCATTCCAGGTGGGCGAACGGGAGGAGGGTGGGGAGATGGCAGTTCCGGTAGACCGTATCCACAGTGGGACTGAGTCAAGCTATGGATTCTGGAGCAGTGGGGAGTTCTCTGCCACTTGCTTACTTGGCATGTTTATTAGGTGGCCAGCTGACAGGTTGGTGGGGATTACTGCCATTGTCGTGTTAGGTTTCCCTAACTATGGTGTGGTTTGTCCATAGATGATGTGACCTTCATCTGCCCCATGTGCATCATTCTCCATTCACCCCGATAAACTGACAGGGTGGCACCCTTTCTGTTCCCAGGAATGAATCAGGTATTAATCCTGTGCTGTGTGCATGGCACTGGGCATATCCACACTGGTGCCGAGCCATCCTCCCCCTTTAAGATGGGTACCAAAAATTACTTGCAAATGGCTTCTCTCAGGGCAGTGTCCAGTGTGATAAACCACCATTTTATACAATACAGAATAACTTGGAGCAGGGCACAGCCAATTTTACTCTTCCCATGTTGTAGATGGGATGGAGCTGAGTAAGTCTGAAAGCCAGTGTAAGTTTGGAAGGGAAGTTTCTCGGGGGGTGCACAGGAGAAACCCCCAAACGTGCCCCCCACCCCAGATCACCACTGTGTCCACTGTAGAAGCATGCTATTTTGGGTCTGGCCAGTCTTAGGTGACTTAGAGATTCAGGGAAAGGTTTGGATGATAAGATGTAGTTAAGTTAGGCCAATCACTACTGTTAGCATTTAGAAGCACCCACCTCCCATCCTTAAGCCCCCGGACAGGCAGCTGGGTACACAGTCCTAGATTAGCCTAGGTAGAGATCCAGTCTTGCTAATTGTGGTTTCTTATCACAGAGATACAGGTACTGGGTGAGGGCCATTACCATTATACTTCCTCTGCATTGTTAAAAGCAGCTCCCACCGGGGAGATTTTAAAGTCTACATCTCCCCCTTTACCCTTTCAGGAGGCAGTTATTGACTAGTTCTTCTTTCAAAACAATATAGGGAACATTTTAAGTAGCTTTTACTACTCCTGCAAATGCAGTAATTAGAGAGAGACCACTTCAGTGTTAGAGGCAATTCCTGTTTTCTAGGCAGGTGGGGAGACTTAGGCTGTACTTCTCTGGAAGCTGTGAGAGGTGGACTCAAGTTGTGATTCCTGGGCGCCTCCATGAATTTTTTTTTAGGTTACAAAAAGAGATAACGCCTTTTAGATGTTAGTATTATCCTTGTTTGCACTCTGTGCTGAAATCCACGTTGTAGAAAAGCAGTTAACAGATGCGATGCCTGTGAAGCAGTGGGAGTAGACTCACGCCTAGCAGCAAAAGCTAGGCCTTGGGGTTAGAAAGCATGAACATTCTTTTCTCTGTCCAGAGGGCTGGATGCATAGATTGGACAGAGATGCTTTTAGCCCAATGAGCAGCGCCTCTAAGTCTATACTTAGTAGACAACCAAAGGAAATCTGAAGTCTTGAACTTGTGACTGGAAAGCGTAGGTCAGTGCTGTACCGGCTTATCAGAACCCCACTGATCAATGTTAAAGCTCTGACCTTTTGCCCTCCTAGTATAATAATAGCATAGTGGAAAGGAAAGAAATCCAAAGCACTTCTCATTTTTCACATCCCTTAGGCAATTTCCTTAGACCTGCAGAACTCACTGCTTAAGCTTCCACATCCTAAGAAATCCCGTTCTTAGACCCTTGCAACTTTAAATCCCTCTCTTTCCATCTAATCATTTACCAGGTCCACGAGTCGCTATTGCTAGAGCTTTCATTGCAAAGCAGGCTCTTTTGTGTGTGTAAGAAGTTTATTGGACAACAATGAGGACACTAAGAGAGACATACATAGATCTAATCTACACGGGAAGTAGAAAAAGACAAGATCTCCTGAGTAAATTGGGAGAATGGGGACCTTGGGGGAGGGTTGAAGGGGAGGGGAGAGACAGGGAGGGGAGCAGAGAAAAATGTAGAGCTCAATACAAATCAATTAAAAAAAAGTTTATTGGAGTGGGGGAGGAAGAGTGAAAAAAATGAAAGGCCATGGGGGCACGAGAGAGGCAGACAGACAGACAGACAGAAAGTAAGAACAGGCAAGAAGAGACACAAGAGATGAGAAAAAGAGAGAGAGCACTGTGCCTGCCAGACACTTTTGAGGGGTGCACATGGCAACAGGTGATGATGTAACTAACTGCCTTGGTGGCTGAGGCAGGTGACTGCCATGGCAGGAACTAACGTTCCTCCCTCTTGTTTATTATTAAAAGTTGAGAAACTAGGAAGAGGGTAGCCAGTAAGGTGGGAATGGAGGTGCTGCATTCTCTAGACTGATTCCTGTTGTTTGGGGGCATCAGCATCTTTGGGGGACTTGAGATAGCTGGAATGCTGGCCAAGTCCTGGGATAGCTGGCGGTTTCACTTACTCCCAGGCTCTGTGGGACAGTCTGGCACTAGGGGAAGTTGTGGGCCTAGGCAAAGCAGTCTGTGAGACTGGACCACTTGAGGGTAGCCATTTTGAAGCTGTCTGGGATGCAGATTTTGAGGGGACCTGGCAGAATGCTAGTGGAGCTGAAGATAAAGTTAGGTGTTTTAGGAGGAATTTTTTCTTAGGTCCTGGTGATTGAAGGAGGGGAGTCCCAAGACCAGGAAAAGTTTGGGGAGATCCCACCCTCTGGACAGGCAATAGATAGGGAAACTTAGACTGTTGATTGAGAGTACTTATCTGGGATCCATTTGACCTGTTTGAGGTAGAACCAAGTCTACCTCAAACTTATGAGAATATTTTTGTGTTTACAAAAGGAAATAAGTTTTAGACACGTTAGCATTCCCACTGTTTGCAATCTGTACTGAAATCCACGTTGTAGAAAAGGCAGTAAACTCATACCTTTGAGTCATAGAGACACAAAAATGATTCTGATTAAAATATTAACATTCTTTCCTCTATCCAGAGGACTGAATGTGTATAGATTATACAGATGTTTTTAGCACAATGATATTCTCTGTTGGTTTTGCTCTTTTGGCTTTTCTGGGGGGGCCTATCACCCAGCTCCCAAATAAATCACACATAGAGGCTTATTCTTAGTTATGAATGCCTGTCCTTAGCTTGGCTTGTTTCTTGCCAGCTTTTCTTAAATTATCCTGACTACTTTTTACCTCTGGGCTTTTATCTTTCTCTATTTCTATATACCTTTCTTTCCTTCTTACTCCATGACTGGCTGGGTGGCTGGGTCCTGATGTCCTCCTCTCCTTGTTCTCTTTCTCCTGGTTCTCTCTCCTCCCAGATTTCTCTTTCTGTTTATTCTCTCTGCCTGCTAACCCCACCTATCCTTGCTCCTGCCTCACTATCGGCTGTTCATCTCTTTATTCGGCCATCGGGTGTTTCAGAAAGGCAAAGACTTACAGCTTCATAGTTAACCAAATGCAGTGTAAACAAAAGTCACATACCTGAAAATAGTATTCCCCAACACAATTAGGATCACTTTTAAGTCTATACTTAGGAAATAACCGAACGAAATTGGAAATATTGGGCTTGTGACTTGGATAATAGTAGTGGAGCTCTGCCAGAGCGAGATTAATAGCATATCAGAACGCCTTTGACTAAAGTTAAAATTAAACGTTTGAAGTCTTCATTCCACAGTAGCATAGTGACGGGAAGAAATCTGAATCAAACGTCATTCTTTTAGAGACCCAAAATCACTTTCTTATCACCATTTAAGCTTACACATCCTCAGATCTTTCTAACTTGCATCTACACACCTTTAAAGTCACTTTCTTATCACAATTTAAGCTTTCACATCCTCTCAAACTTCACACCTTAAAACACTTTCTTTCTGTCTAATCAGCCACCGGGAGACACAGGTGGTTGGTTGCTGAGGGCAGTCATTGTAGAGTGAGTTCTTTGAATCTCGTTTCTGTGTCTGGTAATGCAGTAAAGCTATGTCTCGGTCTAGTAGTAGCTCTAGGAGGGTGAGGCCTGTGGCTTGGATTTTACACAAAAAGACCTGAGAAGGCAGCTGAAGCCTTGGTTGGGCTGTGAAAGGGACAAAGCTATCACTAGGCTAGTTATGGGATACCGTTTGAGTTCGGAGGGTCGATTCCACCTGAGTGGGTACAAGTGCAGACCAAGCAGCTCAAACCTGTTAAAAATGACAGGGACTGGCTGCGTAGACAGCGACACCGGGTTCCTTCGTGGTCGCTGGGGCCAGAGGTCTCAGAGCAGCACCAGCCTTTGTCTGTCAGGCCCAGAAGAGCCTACAGACTTTCCTGTGCAGTAGGAACTCGTGTGCGTGTGTGTGTGTGTGTGTGTGTGTGTGTGTGTGTGTGTGTGTGTAGGAGGGGGCGTGGGGTGGGGATGACGACTTACCTCGTCTAGGTAAAGCAGAGAAACCCACTCCCCGGTGTCCTGTTTGTTCAGTCTGGACAGGGTCTGGGCAGCAGTGGAGGTGAAAGGCAGTTTTGTGGGGGTTTTTGTTTTGTTTTGGCTCACTGGCCAGCTTTGCCACGTTTAAAGCAAGCTCCAGATGGAGGTTCTTCTGTGCCTGTCATCTTTTGAAGAGCTAGGTGTGCTGCCAGGAGCTGGCGTGAATCTCATGAAAGGCTTCTTTTTATTAAATATTTTAAATGCCAAATTCTCAGATCTCTGCAGCGTTTGAGGACCATTGTCTGTTACGTATATCTAAATTATACAGACATGGCTTGTTTCTAGTTACTTATTTCAGGCTTAACTTTGAAAACATACATAAGATGCTAAATCTGGACATGTCAAAGTATTAGCTCCTTTATGAGGTGACTGACTGTTCACTGTGCTCCCTAACAGTCTACAACAGCAGCTTTTTAAAGACTGAGACTTTACATTCCACCCTGTTCAAGGTGACTGATCATTAACTTGCATTTTTAAAAATTATCCTTAACAGATTACAAAATAAGTTCGTAGCTTTTATAAGATTAGGACTTTACACTCAATTTTCCATCTCTGGTAGATTTAGCTTTAAAAAAAACTGTCAAATTTTGAATTGAAGTTTTTTTAGTATCAAAATAAAACTTTTAATCATAGATAATAGGCTCAGTGAAGAAAGCAAAATAGCTGTTCTGTGGGTGAGAACAAGTTTGCTCCAAACTGCCAAGGCTGTCTCCTGAGAATGCAAGAAAAAGCAAGACGGTAAAGACCCCCGGCGCCCAATGGGAACTGGAGAAGAGGGGGCCTGTGAGGTGGGGTGGGGCCCATGAGCAGGGACTAAGGAAGCCCAGAGACCAGTGCCACCCATGACAAGCCAGCAGGCACCACAGTCACACGTTAATGGAAGGGCCCCAGCCAGATACAAGGAGAGCGACTTCTCTCCTAGCAACAGGAACTTTCCTCAAACTCCTGAGAGAATGGGGACCCCTGTCCAAATGACCAGCCCTGGGAAAAGGACCCTCTTGGGGACCAAACACTTCATTATAGTTTGCATTTTTTGCATTACAGATTTTGCATTATATTGCAGTTTTTTTACATGGTTCAGTTTATCCAAATAGCTAAAGCTTAGAGTGAGCAAAGACAAAGTTAGACAAATGTTACTGTGGACCTGTGTACCTGTTACTGTGGACCTTAGGAGTCCACAGATCTTATTTATCAATACATTATTTATCAGAATATGCTGCAACTTATCTAAGTTCTCCAGAAGCTTGGTGTGAAGTGCTTGGCAGAGACATAAGTACTTAGGTGTAAAGCTCTAAGCCAGCTTTGGTTAATCTGAACAGACCTTTATAACCTTAAATTTTTATCGCCATATGGAGTATATTCAAACACATATGCAGTATGCTGTAGCAAACATAACCTTACATTCCTATCATCATACAGAAGTCCTTACCAATCCAAAGTATTTGAGATTTGTGCTTTCTTAGTCTAAAAGGAGATGCGATGAACAGCGAGCTCATTAGGAATAAGAAGCATCGTATGATGTGTGCTCTTTAACCATAGTTTTTAAAGATGGCTGCCACCTGTATCCTGATGATGGCATTTTATTGAGGACTTTGGAACAGTCCATGTGATACACTTTCATTCCTTCTGATGTCATTGCTGGTTGGACTATGAGGACAATGTTCACAGAATGAGTTAGAGTCTTTCTTCCTCTTCATTCTTTGGGGAAAACTTGAAAAAGAATGCGATTAGTACTTTACTATTCAGTATAGTTCTCTATGAAGCCATGGGGTCCTGGGCTTTGTCTAAAATTAAAAAAGTATTTATTCAGTTTTGTTACTTGTTTGAAGTACTGAAGGCTTTATGTTTCATTATGGTTTAGTTTTGATAGGTTTTGTTTCTAGAAATTTATTTCATCTAGGCTGTGCTATTGATTACTGTAACTGTTCATAGTATAGTCATTTATAATCTTTTTAAAAAATTTCTGCACAATTGTAGTAATGACTCCTTTATAATTTCTGGTTTGAATAGTGGGAAGCTTCCTTCTTTTTATCTTTGTTCCTTGAGCTAAGATTTATCAATATTGTTGAATTTTGCAAAGAACCAACTTCTGGGTCCTTGTTTTCCTTTACGGCTCTCTCTCTCTCTCTCTCTCTCTCTCACCTTTATTATTTCCTTCCTTCTGCTAGCTTCATATTTAGCTTGTGTCTCTTCTTACGTTATAAAGTTATGTTAATTTGTGGTCTTCTCAGCTTTTAATGTAAGAAAGCATCGGTAAAAATTTCCGTTTACTGGTACTTTAACTGAATCTTGTAAGTTTTATATACTTCATTGTGTCTTAAATCATTTCTAAGTATCCTCTGATCTTTCTTGTTATGGGCTACTGAACTATAGTTATGCCCTCTCATAAAAGAATTCCTAAGAATACTTTATGTGCTTAGTAAATCTTGGTAAAACTGGTCTCAGGACTAGCCCTAAATTCCTATGCAATATGACCCTGAGCTAAAGATTACTTACTGTCTCTCCGCTTCAGTAAACAAGGCTTGCTTGCTGTAGCTGGCCATTCTGTATATGTCGCAATTGTGTGTGTGTGTTTTTTTAAAACTTTGTGCCAAATGGAGGTTAAGGCTGTGTCCCACTAACCTGTTTGGGAAAGTCCCACCAGTGGTTAAGACTCAGTTGAACTCAGCAGTTTTTCTCTGCAGGTACCCCACAACGCTTTCACGATTTCTTTTATCCATTAGAGTGAGCTGTGTGGTTTCCAGAGCTGTAAAGGAATGATGGAGATTTTAATACTACACTCTCAGTAAAGGACAGAACACAGAGAAGATGAGGACAAGTGGACATCACACAATAAACTAGCAAGATCTAATAGGCATGTGGAGATGTTCTCCAACCAAGATATGTTCATTCTTCTCAAGGGCAAATGAGATGTTTTCCCGGATAGATTGTAAGTTGTGTGACCTGCTGGGATGGCTGACGTTATGTTTTAAGTTTAAATTCCTGTGCTTAAGAGATCTATAGAACACAAATGCCTCTAACCTGTAAGTCCCACTTGCCCAAGGACAGATAACTTCCCGGGATGCTGGGGGTTGCTCTTCATGGAAGGTTACGAGTTACGTGACTTTGCTTCTGTATAAACGCTTGGTTGCCGCAACTGCACAAGGCATGCTTGATTACATGTACCCAGGAGGTACATAGGCAGGAAGTATGTCAAGATGTGTGCCTGCCCCTAACTGGATAAAGGAGAGAAGTACACAGCCTTGTGAGTTTTGTGGGTTTTGCCTTTATAAGCCTCTAACTAATTGGCAGCCAAGTACTGGGAACCTCAGGTGTGGACCTGGTTAGTGTCAATAGTCCTGGCCATTTAATAAAGCTTCCAACCTGGCTCAGAGGGAACTGCTGTACTGAGAAAGAGATGGAGGAGAGTCACGTGGTCGCTATTTAAAACATGTTTTCCTAAACAAGAGTTGAACCACATGTGCACTAGTTGTAGCAAATACAATTTTACATTTTCAACATTATACAAAAGTCCATCCAAAATGACGTGGAGACCTGTTGTCGTCTCTTCGGTAGGTTCATTTCACCTGGTCACCTTTAATCAAGATGGTGGTGAAATCATAGGCCATTTGTCTTCTCCAGCCCTAGCAAAGATGGCAACCAGCCCTGTGGCTGCCTAATGATGTCGGCAAGTCATGTGTTGCTTATATCCCAAAATGAAATCATGCCACGTGGTTCCTTTAAATTATCTACACATAGATTTTTCACTATCAACGCCCTGTTGTCGCAAGTTTTAAATTGAGCTTTTTTGTTACAGATTTTACAGTTTTTTAACCAAAAACATTTGGTGGCTACCACCGTTCATACATTCAACTGAGCCTAATCAAGTTCTGTCTAGGTTTCCATGTTTGCATACCAGAAAACACATACCCATACGCATATGCAAAACAGACAGACAAAGCATTGTGACACTTAACTGGGCCTAACCGATTTCTGTCCTAGCTTCCAGTATCCAAACAATTAGAACCAAGGGAGGGGGGCCAATGTCTTGCTTTTTTGCCCTGGGCGGGAAGATGTTGGGTCCCATCAAACCCCTTCTCGTGCCAGATTGGAATCCCAGCAGAACCAGACGTCACAGAAAATGACCATGACTTACTATGGGAGGTCTTCGTAGACACTTGCTGTTTTGCCAGACCAGCAGTTCATTCTTTGTCTGCAGAACTGAAAGCCAGCCTTGAAACCTTGGTCCGTCTCAAGGGGCACACCTCCCAAGGTGGCCCTTCAGCCCCAGAGTCCCAGAGAGATCTTCTGGCTTTAGATTTGGGGGAATGGTCTGATCTTACTGAAAGCTGCCAGAAAATGTTAGTCCCATTGGGTGAGAAGAAGACCTCTCCCAAAATTTTTGAGCCAGATTTGAAACAAGCTTTATTAAATGGCCAAGACTATGGATTACAGTCATGACCAAGTGGAATTTGTTTCTGGGATGCAAGGATGGTTTGACATAGAATATTGATAACATAATATGCTGAATTAATAGGATGAGGGGGAAATGATAATTTTAACTAGACAAAAGTGTCTGATAAAATTCAGTTCTTTTTCATGATTAGAAATGCTCACTAAACTATAAGTAGAAGGCAACCACTTAGCATAAGAAGTGCCATTTATGTAAAACAGGCAAACACCACACTCAATAATGAAAGACCAAAAGTCTTCCATTAAAATCAAGAACAAGACAAGGATACCTGTTTGTGCTTGTTGTATTTAAATATCACTGCAAGACCTGACCAGAACAATTAGGAAAGAAAAACGAAAAATGGATCTAAGTTGGAAAGCAAGAAGTAAAAATTTCATCTGTTTACAAATATTCTTTTATACATTAAAAGTTCTACATTTTACCCACTCCCACCCCCACAAAGTTCCATTAGAGCATTCCATTAGAGTTATTTTACTAGTCTGGTAAAATAACAGAGTCCAAATTCTACACATAGAAAACAGCTGAACTTTTATACAACATACGCCAACAATGAATGTGGCTTGTTTTATGTCAAGTTGAGACTAGACAGAGTTATCTGAAGGGAAGGAATCTCAATTGAGAGAATAGCCTCCATAAGATCTGGCTACAGTGTATTTTCTTAATTACTGATTGCTAGAGGAGGTTGCAGCCTATTGTGGGTGGCGCCACCTCTGGGCTGGTAGTCCTGGATTCTATAAGAAAACAGGCTGGGCAAGCCATGAGGAGCAAGCCAGTAAGCAGCACCTCTCCATGGTCTCTGCATCAGCTCCTGCCTCCAGGTTGCTGCCCTACTGGAGTTCCTGTCCTGACTTCCTTCACTGATAGACCATGATGTGGAAGTGTCAGCCAAACCAGTCCCTTTCTCCCCAGCTTGCTTTTAGTCATGGTATTTCATCCCAGCAATAGTAACCCCGACTAAGATAATGAGCAAACCCAATTCAGCCCTCCATGAAACTCACACCCCTTAAAAAAACATCAAAACAGAAAGCTGTGTAAGATTTGTTTTTCAACAGTGTAGTGTCTTCTTGGTACATCTACACACTATCACGTGTGCCTTTTGTAGCCCTGTTCTCCTGGTATTTGTAATAGCCACTAATCTTGGTGGTACAGAATGGGGTTGGAAATTGGCATTGAATTCTAACGCGGGTTGTTCTTGTATAGTTCCTTTCTGTATGGGGCCAGTACTTTTCTTCTGTTGTCTCTGATGCAGCTTGTAGGACAAAATTGTTCTGTCACCCGAACATCACCTTGAAATTGCAAAGCAAACAAATAAACAACATCTTATGCAGCAGCAGCGCCTCCAAAAACAAACCCAAAAGCTTAATGCAGGTGCTCTGTTGACATTCTAAATGTTTCTAGACAAATATAAAATAAAAAAAGAAAAGGAAGGAAAAACTTGAAAAGGAAGAAGTGGGCTTGGTGGTGTAACCCTAGCAGCCAATCAGAAAGCTCTCCAGCTTAAGAGGAAGACAAGCTTGAGGCCACCCTGGGCCACACTGGGAAAACCTTGCTTCAAAAAATGAAACAAAGCAAAAAAAAAAATAGATGAGAAAAGATGTGAGTGGAGGAGATGGCCGCAGTAGGATCCCTACTGTGTGATTGCACTTAGCAGAGCAGATGTAGCAGTCACTGGTAGACCTGCTAAGAAGAAAGAGGGAAGGAGTGGGCTTTACTGGTGAATGGGTACTGTGTTTCAGTTTGCAAAGAGTAAACAGTTCTGGAGGTGGATTGTTTTAATAAGTGCACAAAAACGTGATTGTTCTTGAGCTTGGGACTTTAAAGATGGCCCAAATGCCACTGGGCTTGGTATTTCAAAAATGGCTAACAAGAGGTTATGTTATGCATATTTTCATCAAGTAAATAGTGTTTTGTTTTGTTTCATTTTTCTCATTGGAGGAGAAACTCTCTAATGGGGGAGACATGGAATATACTGGGAAAAGGAGCTGACAAATGGGTACTGAGACAGAGACAGCTCACCCGGTGGAGGATCACTAGCAGCTGGAGATGTTCCTAGGGAACCTGAGGGGAAGATGCTGGGGGCTGAGAACAAGAAGGCGTCAGAAGAGGAGGCTGGGGAAAGGTCCGACAGCATCAATGTGGAGGATGGGGATCTGGCAACTGTGAGAAACAGGGCGGGGGACACAGGCCATGTGGGGCAGTTCTCTTCAAAGCTGAGCCTGTGTTGGTTCGAGCTTCCTCCAGCCCCACATCTTTGTGGCAGAGGCTAGCACTGGACACAAAGCTGGGTTGTGACAAAGCCACAGGAAACAAACCGGGGCCTTTCTCATTAAGAAAATGACTTTTTTATAGAAAAGAGTGTCATACTTCAACGTTTTGGTTCAGCTGACTCATTTTTGCCCCGGGCCAGATGTGGTAAGATTTGGCAGAAAAGTGGTCTATTAAATATGGGTCCATACATTGACCCAGTTCTAACTCTCAATTTGAGATGGTTTCTGTGAAACTCAACTGTGCACCTGTTGTGCGCAGGGGACCCGAAAGAAAAGATGTCAGGACAAGAGAATATAATGGCTTCTTTAGAAACATCTGGAACCCTAGGGAGAGAGCCTCGTTCCTGCGGTGAGCCACAAGTGTGCTGACAGGTTCATCCAGGTCATCCCCAGATAATTGTTAGGGCTGAGCCTGAAATAATAGCCCCCTTTACTAAACATCACCCGAGGTGCTCCACGTCTTGGCTCACCTGATTTTCATGACATACGAAGCTTGATCATTGTGTTACCCAAGGTCGTTTAGGCTCAAGCTGTGAACAATTTACTCCAAGAGGCTCGAAAAGTAAGCAGGAGGGAGCAGAGGTGGGGATGGATGTGGTCTGTTTCCCGGCGCTACCTGAAACCCCAAAGTAGCTTTTGTGTTTTTGTTTATTAGTAAGTTTTACAGCATTGGAAGCAGATCTGAAGTTTCTTCCTGTGCCAGAAGATGCCTATCACAACCATCTCCCAGCCTCTGTGGCATTCTTTAAGTTCCAATTTTCTTTCCCAAGGTGTGGATAGACAGGTGTTGGTGGGGGCAGTGTGTGTGCATTTCCATCGTGTATAACCAGAGCTAAGGTGAACATAAGGTGAGTGGGTTCTCTTTTTGCTTAGTAGTTTACATTTTTAGTTTTTCATTTATTTTACAAAGTTGCAGGCTTTCTTGTGGAAGTTTTGTAAATACCTTGTCCAGCCCTTCCCCACTCTTGCTCCATCCCATGTCTCTACTTCTCAGCCCCCCTTAAGCCCTTCTACCCCTTCTCTTTTATACCCTATGTATTCTATTACCTTTCCCACCCCTTCCCTTGAAAAAGTCGGGTGTCTCCTTCTTGTTAGCTCCTTTCTGGTTTCCCAGGCTCAGCATGTACTCACTCCCACAGAAATACACAAAGGGAAACATGACACCCTAGGATCACAGATGAGAGAATGCGCATTTGTCTTTCTGAGCTGGGCCACCCCACTTAATGCAACATTTTCCAGTTCCATCAGCTTTCCTATAAATTTCATATTTTTGCATCTGAATAAAGTTCCATGGTGTAATATATCACATTTCATTGTCTGTATTCCAGTAGATAGACGTGCAGATTGAGTAAGAACAGAAAGTGAACATTCTTGTCTTGTTCCTGGTTTTAGTTCTAATTCATTGAGTTTTCCCCATTTTTTATGATGCTGGCACGGATGTACGATACGTAGCCTTGATTTTGTTGAGATGCATTCCTTCTGTGCTTGGTCAATGCAAGAAACACTGCTTTCACCTCAAATGGAACAATCCATATGGTTTTTTCTGGAGTCAATAGGAGTCGACCATGGTCCAGAAACAAATTTCCTACTCCACTGTGGGAACAGTTTCATGAAGTCTATATAGTAACAGAGCAAAGAAAGTCATAAACAAGCATGGCTTTCAACACATTGCTGTAATACGAGGTAGGCAGGTCACAACAAGAAGCAGAAAATTCTGCTCTATGGTTCAGATGCCATCTGATGGTGGACATGAGGGTCCATTCATAAATTTCAAAAGATCTACCCAATAGTCTCAAGGATGTTGCTTCATACCCAAAGAGAGACAGTGGAAGCCAAGGAAACCCAAGATCATTTGTAATTATGGCCCTGGATCTGCAACACTCAAGTCCCCACAATCACTGAAGTTCTGGAATGGTCAACACAGACGTGTCCTCTTTCTGAGAACTTTAGTTCACACCTTTATCGTGAGGAGATATTGACTGATTCCTGTAATGTAGTATTTGGCCTCATGATTTGGAAGTTAAGCCTTTTGAGTACTGTGACTTTTGGGGCTTCTTGATTCTGACCATCAGGTACATTCTGTGTTACCTCTGAGCAGAAGAGGACCAAGACTTGAAAGTGAATTCAATGACCTTCTTACTCAAAACCCCCAGCTAGAAATTTGGCCAGCTCTGTGTCCTCTCTCCCCTGTATTGTCTGTCTGATGTGCAGCCATCAGCCCCGGAATCTGTTTGGCCAGCTGAAGTCCTCTGCCAAGGTTGAAGAACACAATACAGTCTCTTCCCTATGGACTCTAGCAAAAGGAGAAAGCGCTCCCCCATCGCATACATACGCAAAGCCTGTAGAAAGTATACACAAAGCACAGTGTATCCAGTGGAGCCAGGTACCCCTGATCCATTATGTTAGACAAGGGAACAACAGTTTGGGGCTCAGAGTTCTTTTTGTGAGGGCACCCATGAAGCTTATAAATTAGAAGCTATCTCCTCTTATCTAACTCCCATTTCTTTTCAACTCAAAGTCTATCCTAACCAGTACTTCCATTAAAATTTCATCTAACCCTAGAACTGTCCACTGGGGGCAGTTTGCTAGGAAGTGTTGCCTCTGTGTGTATGTGGCGTATAGGATCATGGGTTCCCTTCTTGTAATATCTTTGTCTGGCATTTGGTGATGGAGTAAGGGCCATTCACAGAGGGAGGTGGTCCATGGTCTTCAATTTTCTGGAGAACTTTGTGTAGAATTAAGCATTATTTTTTTGTGGGAGTTTTATTGATATAAAGGGAGTGGGGGAGGAAAGAGAGAAAGGAGAGGAAGAAGAGGCAAGGACCAGCCTGCCTCTTCAGAAGAACAGTGGGAAAAGAGAGAATGTTTTTGTTGTTGGTGGTGGGTTTTTTTGTGTGTGTGGGAATGGTTTCAAGACAGGGTTTCTCTGTAGCTTTGGAACCTGTCCTGGAACTTGCTCTGTAGACCAGGCTGGCCTCGAACTCAGAGATCCGCCTGCCTCTGTCTCCAAGTGCTGGGATTAAAGGCATGCACCCCCCCGCCCCGAGTATTATTTTGTTCTTTGTAGAAAGATTTTCAGCTTTGTTTTTTTTTTGATATGTGGCCCCTCTTGTCTGAGCATTGGTAGTTTGTGTCTTTTAAAGAGTGTGCATATGTCTTCTAAATTAGCTAACTTATTGGTGTGAAGCTGTTCCTCATATTTCCTCACTGTCGTAAGTGCTCATGAAGTCTCTAGAGATGGCAGTTCCTTTGAGGCGATTCAAATGGTTATTGGAAATCACAGCTTTAAAAGGCGTAGGAGGTAGAAAGTAGTTTCTTCATTTCAGAAGTTGCCACGGACTGCTTTCTCTGAGGCAGGTTGTGGGGGGCACTGACGCTCAGCGGCAAACAAAAGCCACACAGAA